TTTTTTGATTACGGATTGAAAAGCTTAAAAAAATTACGAGCTAATTGGAAAATTTTGCTTACAATTTAGAAAACCATATCTGCTTAATGCTATCCAGTGAAGTATGGTACTCAGCCAGTCGGTAGACTTTAGAGGTATGCTTATGACTATTTGACTAGCTCCAACGAAAAGTAAGGTAAGCAAATAGACTCTGAGCCTCTATAAAACCCACACATCCTTTGCACATGGCATCGTACAGGGTATGACAAAAAAAAAAGTAAAAGTAAATACGCAAAAACAAAAGCATTCGTCTCTGCTATCAACTTCAGCAAATGAGCGACGGGGCTCGCCTCAGTTGTGCCTCAGACGATCGCCGAAAAGGTATCCGAAAGCTCGCCCGCACTCCCAACTCCACAATAGAAGATCTCTCGCAGTAGATACGGAATCTGGAGGCAATGCAAACGTTCCAACACAACGACAGTCAGGTAAGGTAATTATTTTGGTTTATCTTTGAGTGATTACGAGTCGAACGACACACAATCGCCCAAAAATGTAGCTCATTTTGGTGCAGCAGAATCTCCGATCACTGCCCCTAGAGCTGGTCAAGCGCCATGCGGAGCACGTGGAGCTGCTAGACCTGAGCTATAACTGTCTGAAGGATCTGTCCTGGCTGGCGGAGTTCGAGCAGCTGCGTCATTTGGTGCTGGACAACAATCGGCTACACGAGGCACGACTACGGACATTGACACAACCCCTGCCACAGCTGGAGGTGCTCATGCTGAACAAGAATGAGGTAGGGTCCTTTCCTTCTTCGTATCAGAGTCTTTTACACGCGTTTGCCATTGCAGTTCAGTGACCTGCCCTCAACAATGCGACTTATCCGACGACTATTTCCCAACCTGCAGTACCTGAGCCTCCACGGCAATCCCATTTGTCCAGATGGCCTCGAGCTTCAGCCCTTCTCTGGGTACTTGCGCTACGACTACGAGTACTACAGGTAGGATTGACCCCTCTTCTATTCTGGGATCTGAGTTGTCAGTTCATTGTCTTCTCATTCCACGCAGCAATTACATTGCACAGTCGCTGAACAAACTGAAATTTCTGGATCATGGTCTGGTGCAACGCAGCTATCAGTACGAGAGTTTTCCCATCAAAAGCTACGGCAAGCAACTGATAAAAACAACGAGCTTTTGATACTAGTCGTATCAATTCGATAGGATAGTTTCCTTTGATAGAATCTTATAAAAGAAATTGTTATCCTAAACAGAATATCTATAGATGAGTTTTGTTTGTGGTTGTGTAAAACTAAAAAATATATTGTTATTTAAATTAAATAAATCAGTTTAAATGTTATAGAGCTCGTTTTTCTATATATTCAATAAGATATCTTTAAAATATGCATAAGGCTACAAATTCTACACCCTGTATAAGAACAATCGTATAAGACCAAAGCCGGGACGAGAACCAACAATGAATAACGTTTGAGACTTAGCCAAGACAAAAACCACACAAAAGCTTACATTCCAGATGAAGAAATTAAGCGTAAAATGAATTTGATGATAAAACACAATCCGTAAAGGAGACTAAAAAAACTTTGAGAGCCTAAGCTGCAACGAATTTGGATTGCACTGCAATGAATATTAGACCAGTTAATGATTTAATGAATTAAGAGTACCTTTATTTAAGATGCCTTACAAAAATCCACAATTAATTAAATAAATGTATTTGGGAAGAACAATCTAGATAGGTAGGAGTCTGAGGGGAAAGTTTCATCAAATTCACCTAGGACATGAACCGTTAACAAACAGGTTTAGAAAACCCACATGCCCTACGCGATTCATATCATTATAGGGTGCTAATAAATAATACGAGTATGTGTCTGTCTTTCAGCCTGCCGGCCGGCAAAAACAGAAATAAACGGCAATCAGAAAACAGAAACCCTGATAGCAGCGATGGAAGCCTATAAAAGCAGCATCTGGTAGCTTTTTCAGTTTCAGTTTCGCGACAGAAGCTCTCCTCCACTTTAGCTCCAGACCTCGGTGCCAGCAGCAGTTTATATACATTCTCCATCAGTATGGCCGATCCCAACACAAAGCCCAAGTACACAAAAGTGAGTACATATATAGTAGAATACATTATATTTTGTTGCCAATTGCATCTTGTATGCAATAAGTGTTTTGCAATTGATTAAACAGCCTTACACCTGTTTATGCCTGCTGGCAACAACTTAAACAAACTTCAGATAATAAGTACTACATATGTACATATACGCGAATAAAACCCAAACTCCATCGTGCTTCTAATGGAAAACCAACTTGTTCCGAACTAGTTTGTGTCGCAATTTTCGAATTTTTCTTTTTGATTTGCGTGTGGGTCAGCGAGACATACCCACATACAGGGTGTTCTGTTCTGGTCGTAATCTACTCTGCTGTTTGACACTCAATAAACAAATCTTCCATTGCTCCGGCGATAATAATGATGTGGTCTTCTAGAGCAAACAATACTGATAACAATACACAAAGTTTAGGGGGTCCTATGCTGTTATTCGAAGACACTGATACGGAGAAGACTTTGACACCACCTTATTGTATGTACCTAATGGGATTATAAGGTGGTGCGAGCAGATCTTTCATTGGACACAAAGTGAATAGGGTCAGAGTATTATCGTGCTGTCTTGAAATATCAATTCATCTATCGAATGCTCTCGAATTTTAATACACTTTCTGATAGAATCTGGGTTTTCTTTTCTCCCGAGCACTGAAAGTAATAGATTTTGTTAAAAAAAATAACTCTCCCCTAACTCAAGTGACTTTCATCCAATTGAATACATTTCATCTGATTCAATCCAATGTTCTTTATGAACCCTCAGCCCTCAAATCCCGATAAAAGCATTTATTTATATCTCTTAATGTTCCATTATATCTTTGAATCACTTCCAAATACTAACTAAAACGAGATGACTTTGTTATGTCAACAGTTTTGTTTGTTCGTAAAGTTGACAGTTTGGGATCGTGACGGAACTTAAATATTACATTGCTTACATTGTCGCGTGTCGTTTGGAAAATTGAAATGGGGCAATCAAAGTGCTGACAACTTGTTGGGGCACACAAAGGTTGTTATCCCTGAGAATATAATCAGAGAGAGAGAGCGATGCGCAAATTGCACCAATTACTGGCATACCATCGCTCCAGATTGGGTAGGAGTAAGAGCAGATCTAATCATAGTTTTGCAAACTGCCAGCCCCATCACTGTGAGGTTCGGGAATGGGTCCTACTTTGATGACTGCTTATTCATAGCCTTCTATTCCTTCATTTATTCCCACTGCAGCTCTTTATCAACAATGAGTTTGTGGATGCCGTCTCTGGCAAGACCTTTGCCACATCCAACCCAGCCACTGGCAAGGAAATCGTCAAAGTGGCCGAAGGAGACAAAGTGAGTCAAAGTTCCACATTTATAAGGCACCCGAACTAATGTGAATTATCTTCGTTAAAGGCTGATGTGGATCTGGCAGTGATTGCGGCCAAGAAGGCCTTCCATCGCAACTCCGATTGGCGCAAGTTGAGTCCCCTGCAGCGCACTAATCTGATTAACAAGTAAATATACATTTACCCGTCCCCTCTTGCCCATAATCAGTTTCCATTAATCATAACTTCCTTCTAGGCTCTGCGGACTGATGGAGCGCGACAAGGAGTTTCTGGCCAGCCTGGAGACCCAGGACAATGGCAAGCCCTATGCTGAGGCCCTCTTCGATGTCACCTACTCGATTCTGACGCTTCAGTACTATGCCGGCTGGACCGACAAGTTCTTTGGCGACACCATTCCCGCTGGAGGTTTCACCTCGATGACGCGCAAGGAGCCCGTGGGCGTTGTGGGCCAGATCATTCCCTGGAACTATCCTCTGCTGATGCTGGCCTGGAAGTGGGGACCCGCCCTGGCCGTGGGCTGCACCATCATCATGAAGCCGGCGGAGCAAACGCCACTCACCGCCCTGCACATGGCTGCCCTGACCAAGGAGGCGGGCTTCCCAGCGGGCGTCATCAACATCATCAATGGATTCGGGCCCACCGCTGGAGCAGCCATCAGTGAGCATCCAGACATCGCCAAGGTGGCGTTCACCGGCTCCGTGGACATTGGTCGCATCGTGATGCAGGCAGCGGCCAAGTCCAACCTCAAGAGGGTGTCCTTGGAGCTGGGCGGCAAGAGTCCAGTTGTGGTATTCGATGATGCGGACAGTAAGTACCGCCTTGATTCCCTATCTTCTTCTGGCCCTAACGCATATTTGATCCTTTTAGTTGACTTCGCTGTGGAGACCACACATGAGGCTCTGTTCTCCAATCACGGCCAGAGCTGTTGCGCCGGCAGTCGCACTTATGTGCACGAGAAGATCTACGACAAGTTCGTGGAGAAGGCCGCTGCCAAGGCCAAGGCCCGCAAGGTGGGCAATCCTTTCGAGGAGAACGTACAGCAGGGTCCCCAGATCGATCAGGAGATGTTCACCAAAGTCCTGGGCTACATTGAGAGCGGTCAGAAGGAGGGCGCCAAGCTCCAGGCTGGCGGCAAGCGGATCGGCAATGTTGGCTTCTTCATCGAACCCACTGTCTTCTCCGATGTGAAGGATAACATGAAGATTGCCCAAGAGGAGGTGCGTACATTGAGATCCTCTTTACAAAATCATCCTTTAATGGGTTCACTTTCATGCCGACAGATCTTTGGACCCGTTCAGTCGATCTTCAAGTTTAGCAGCCTCGACGAGATCATCGATCGGGCCAATAATGTCCAGTACGGTCTGGCCGCCGGCATCATCACCAATGACATCAACAAGGCCCTGAAGTTCGCCAACAATGTGGACGCCGGCTCCGTCTGGATCAACTGCTACGATGCTGTGCTCCCCCAGACGCCCTTCGGTGGCTACAAGCACTCTGGCATTGGTCGCGAGCTGGGAAAGGATGGCTTGGACAACTATCTGGAGACCAAGACCATCACCATGAAGCTGCTCTAGATCCTAGACAAACACAGCTTGATCCTTCGTATACATAACGTTTGTATTTTATTTGCACAGTTTTTCGGTTGTCAGACGGTTAGAATATTATTGCATTTTCAATAAAACAAAAAACTCTACGGTTAATGTTTCTTTTAAAAGATTATAGTCGATCGACCGACTAGGGAATGTCGCTTAGCTTTTTTGGAGATTATCGGCTTTGGATGGATTGAAATGTTAAAAGTTAAATAAAGGTCTTTAACGAGATTCGAAACCAACGAATCCAAATTAATGAATGATACATACATATATGTATTTATGCTAATGCCTGAAAGTATGCTAAAATATCTTTATATCAAAATCCATTAAATTGACCTGAAATCGTCCAACAAATCCACTTTTTTCCTTAGGTAAGGCGACATTTTCTAAACTATTTAATTCTGACTTCGAGGCACGAGTTCGCTTAGACTCCTCTATGGGAGAACTCTAAAATTTAGACTAAATTCTGGATAAAAGGGACAAATGATTACCCCTATTTCCCACCATTCCCTAGGACTTCACTTCGTATATAAAAATAAATATAAACCTGAGATTGCCATTCGTTTTGCCACCCTTTAGGCCAAACTGGTGACCCCAACCGAAGCTTGGGGCTGACCATCTAGAAGCGGCACTGCCACATCGCTCAAGTGCGACCTGGCACTCTGATAGTCCTCCTCGGATCTGGGCCTTATCTGCGTCTGGTGCTGCGGACTGCTCTGCTGCACTACCTCCCTATAGACGGGCTGAATGGGAGCCTGGAAATCTGTGCTCGGCCGATGGTCAAACAACTCATCGATGTCGACCAGCTGGAAGTCCACGGCGAAGATGAACCGCAGCACCATCACTAGCAGGGCCATGATCCACAGCACCATACCAATCACATAGCTGCAGCGAAAGAGCTGCAGATACGTGTCGTGGGAGACATTGTGCTCGTGCACGATGGGCCGCAGCAGGGCGATGGCATCCCCGCAGCTGATGGCAATGGGATCGGTGAGATTCTCGCGGAGTTGTCCGCACAATTGCTTTAGATGTCCGTTGGTCAGGATAGTGTAGAGAACGCTACCAAGGCTCATCACGGAGAAAATGATGATGGAGGGCACCACAATGCGCCAGGGTTTCGGCAGGACTCTGAAATGGAGTAGGATGGATGTTGATTACGGATTAGAATTTTATAGAAAGATCATACTCACGAACTCTTTTTGCTGCCCGTCTGGAAGATCAGACACATGGCTGTCCAGATGATGGCCACAATCTCCGATATAAGAGGAAATGCATAGACGAACTGTGCGCCAATCCCAGGATTCCAAAATGTGGCATGTGTATCCAAGGCCACTAAAGGGAAATGCTTGTGAAAGATCCGAGGACCAAAAGGGACTGATATGTCTAAAACTTACTGCTGGCCAGGAACTGGCGATCTGCCTCCGCATTGAAGACAATCTTGGGAGTCGGCGCCAGCGTTGTGGTCAAGGCCTTTTCTTCATTATTTTCAGCTATCAAACGCTCCAACCGTGGCCGGTTCTCCCTCGACTCGTAGATATGTGGTATCTTGAAGGTTGGCTTTGTGGTTTCTGAAAAAAAAATATACCGATTCAAAATGTGCTTCCAAGAAGATTTCCCTGGAATTCCTTACGGCTATCGCTCTGCAGCGAATCCGGTGCTACATCCTGAACGGAATATTTATCCCCATAGGCCTGCTGGGTGGCTTTGATATAGTCCCGATGTAGGATCTCCTTGCTGCGGTTATCCATTTGATCGAAGTTGCGCTCACGGAAAATGAGTTTGGCACTGACTATTCCCTCGTACAGATCCCCGGATATCATGTGCAACGAAATGCTCCATATTATAGAGAATATTGCAATGCATACCATAAGGCATATCACGGTGTCTGCAAGGAAAGAAATATGTGTTGGAAAATTGTTAAAAAGGGTTATACATGAGTATATCAAAGTCCTCCTTGGGAGCTCTGCCAAACCTTCCATATCACCCTGGCACAATCAAATAGTAACGAAATCTACCAAAAGGTAGAAGGGTTTCCTTGAATTGTTGAATAACGAGAGCTCTGTGCGAGTATCTGTGAAGCCCATCAACTCTTTCCATTCATTTAACTTGTGATCCCCCTTTCTGTTATATCCCCAATGGTGATAATGAATTCGTATAAATAACCTCTGCCATTATTAAGCACTTTATGCACATTGCCAAATCAAAAGAGCCGCTGTTGACAAATTTGAATTGGAAATTAACAGCTCAAGTATATAGAGAGCTATATTTGGACAATCAACTGTATATGGATCTGCAAGGAGCCGTTGATCAAGTATATCATATGAAAAGCATTGCCAGCAATGGATTACGACATTATTAATGTTATTCATAGAACGAATCAAATATTGTGCGAGTATGTAAGCCACTCGTAGAAGGTTAGCCACACGAGATGAAATATTGTTTTCTCGCTATGTTTTGTTGGACATGTTTTCGACTGGAGCGGAGCGGAGGGTGGGGCAGATAATTTATTTGGCTTTTTTTGTGTTTCGTCTGTAAGATTCAGTTAACTGTGAACTAGTCCCAGGTTGTGGGGATTCTCAGTGTGTGCGTGAGGTTATATCTGAGGCTATGATATCATTCTCGATGAACAAATTCAAGATGACGTCGATATCGTGACTGCTGGCCAATAAAATTCATTTCAATTGATGCAAAAATATTCGCACTGATGCTTTCATTTCACATGATTCGGGATACAAATTAAAACAAAAGAAGAAAATACATACACTGCAGAGTCAACAAACAGATTCGCGGGAAAATATACGATTCCGAAATGCGGAAAAATATGCGCATGATGGGTCGGTCGAATGTTATATTACCAATTCCATTTTACAGTCCATTATGGACAGACGAGCTTTACAATTTCCCCATACACACTCGTATATCATAGCTGTATAGATCACGGAATGGTACCACAATTTTCATGCCCCAAGTGCTTTGAACGCATTAAGCGGAATGGTTCTTTTTGTGTTTGCTTTTCGGATGGGCACAGACACCAGCACTCATTTACTGCGTTGCACGATCCCCCAGAGAGTGGGACAGTCTCTCTGTGGCATGACATCATGTCGCCCCTCAGCTCTGGCCTGGGTCTGGGTCTGGTTCTGGGTGCGGGCAAGCGAGAAGTTTCACGAGTCGTTAGCGGGGCTAACCACTTTCGGCCAGTTTTGGTAGCAGAATATGGCCCAAAGAGTAGGAGCTTTGTAAAGCAAACTATAAATAAAGATTACTAAATGGTTTGCCAGATAGAAGCGATAGATACGATCGAGAAATATTGGGGAAGCTTCCATTGCCAAGGCTGTTAGCAATTTCCCCTGCTTACAGTGTTTGTTTGCAGATCTAATTGATCCCGGAAGTTTTGCACTTAAATAACCCAATTTGTTAATGCCATTAACAGGGACCACATGGCGTATGCGTATTTTCGATGGCGCCCACTCAAACAAACTTTCCACTTGCCACCACTTAGCAGCGGGCCAAGAGATGCAACAGCTTGAATGTTTATTAACATTTCGGGCAGGGGCTTCAACGTCAGAGCCAAGAGGAAGCAATGTGCGAAAATGTTTATAAGCAACCGAAACGAACTTAATATTAGCAAATTTCTGTAAAGCCTTTAGGGCCATTTAGCACCTTTTGATGAGGCGATTGAGGGTATAAAAAAGACACCATGTTTAGCACACTATACCAGGGGGACTTAGGTAATATCGGAGGCACTTTCAAGAACGGTTGTCCCTGGCCAGAGTATATTTTAACAGGTGCTTGTAACACAGCTAGCAAAAAACCTCGAAATAAATGGAAATAGATTTTGCCCCACTGTCACATGTGAAAGCATCTGGGAAGCTTCCAAACATTTGCCAGATACTCGTATAATTTACTCGGACTGTTTATTGCTGCTGAAAGACGCGCCCCTTGCAGAGCAGCCACCGTGACTGATGGACAAATGGTTTTACAATAATTGAATCGAACGCTGTCTGTCAGTGGCAGGGAAGTCGTTGGATATCTGTTTGAAAATTGACATTCGAAATGTTGTTTTGGTTTTATTTTAGCTTAGGTTTCACCTTCTTCTTGCGCCAGTGAAGGTCTACCTAAAAATATTCCAAGAACTAAGGGCGATTAAGGGCCATTTGAATGTTGTACATAATTATTTATAGAATATGTAAGGAAATGAATACCCAAGCGAATAAAAGAATGAATCAACGTACGGTTCAGATTGCGTATATCGCCAGTTGTTAGCTTTCCCTGTTTGTACTTTTTTATCAGCTCCATTGTAGCATGTTTTTATGTGATTTATTATGTAGGAATTGTCGGGATTTGCGGCTTCCGTGGGATGCCAGAGTTTATCAAATTAAGTTTGAATTTTATTTTATTTATAACGTATTTAGCACAACTTTTTTGTACAGATTTGTTCGCTCTTTTGTCCAGCCTATAGTCGAAAATAGTTTTTATTTCACATTTGTTTGCTTTATGGTCCAAACGGGCAATATTTTATGGAGCCAACTGGCAGAAAACATTAAAAATTAGCGCACAGAAATTTATTAGAAAAACAATAAACAGTTTACGGACAGGCGGGACGAGTACATTTTGATCGTAAACCAAATTCAATCAAGCAGAAGAGAACATTTTCTATTTTTACTATAATTTTGTTGGTTTTTTTTCGCCTTGCTTCTATTCCGTTGAGCGATTGGAATAATTGAAATTAATTGATTTTGAATTAATGTGGGAGAAGACAAATGGTTTTTGTGTGTGTGTGCGCGCGAAAGTTTTTCAATTGGATTCGGAACACCTTTGGCTATCAATTTACATTTGGCACACCACTGAGGTTCAAGTTTTCAATTTACTACTTTGTATTTTCATGCCGCATTACGTATACGTAACGAAACCGAATTTAACACCTTTTTGTGCTCGTTCTCGAATATCTACTCTAATTAACCCCAGGGGCTCATGGCGTGTCCGTGTTGTGGGACACGGTTTTTGGCTGGGAAAAGCGTCATTCGTCTAAGCCCACAATTCCCGCCCAACACACACTCCGCACACACACACACACACACAAACAGTTCAAGGTCATGCCTTTTTCGGTTTTGGTGGGTCTTTTCGATTAAGCATTTATCTATGCATTATTACATTGATATTAATATGTCTTTGATTAGCATAAATCGGTTTTGGGAAAGACACCGTTAATTGCCCAAGCCCCCCGTAGAGAGAGGAGCGTCTCCGAAAGAACGAAATGGCGGACCGAACTCCGTAGCGACCGACCGACTGTGCCGTTCGTGACTCTTTCAGACACTGAGGCGGCGACCAAGCCAACGACGAACTGTGGAGCATTCTCCAGCTGAAAATCCAAAGTATATTAGTGCAGGGTGAGTCTTGCCCAGAGACAGAACTCTGATAAAATAATGATTCCAAGGTGGATAACATTAGTGTGTAGTATTATATAGTGGTCTCCCCGAAACAAATGTATTTAACTAATTAGAGTTCTTTAAAATAAAACCTGTCTGCACACAATTTACCTTATATATCTTTATGGCCACAAACTCATACGCACAGTTATCCGGAGAGGGAGTAGGAATGCCCCACCCTGTATAAATACACCTTGAGCCCCCTACAACAGTCCCTCGCTCTCTCTCTCTCTCTCTCTCTCTCTCTCTGTTTCTTTCGCGCTCTCGGGGAGCGTCTTCGGTTTTGTTTTGATTTCGCCATTTTGCAACTAGTTGCTCCCGCACCTACCCCTCTCCCAACAGCTCAAACCTATGTTTTTATTTAGCTTTCGCTTCTTTCTTGTTTCTGTTTTGGTTCGTTTCCTACGAGTTTGTTATTTTTCGCATAGGCGGTGGTTCGTTGCTGGGGAGGGGAGGGGAGGTGAAGTTTTTATGCGTGGGAAGGGGGCAAACTGATTATTTTTTTATTTCAATTGTTTTTCTCGCTTTTGTTTTTTGTTTCTGATTTGAAAACATTTTTGTGTTGATGCTTTGTTAGATTATGAGTTTTTTACACGAACAAAGTGGGAGGTTAAGAGGTCCCAAGAGACGTTGTTTGTTTTGTACTGTATTTTTTTAATAAACACTAATATAATACAAATAATTATGCGTAATCGTGGAACAACTACAATACTTATACCAATGATTCAAAGCAGTTGTCGTTGCGATTCCGGAAGGATACGATTAAGTCTATCCATACTATGACTGATCTATAGATATTAATTTGTAGTTATTTGGTATTACTTCAATTACCCCAAAAATGAGCCCTTACAGAAAGCTTTCTCTATAAATATGTACTATACTCTTTCGTACTCGTCTATCTGTCCGCACTTTATCAACAGCGTTTAGCTAAATATCTTTATTGTTCCTTTGAAACAAAGTTTATCACTTAGTTCGTTTGGTGGCCGTGGCTACAACTTTGTAAATTTGTTTTCGCGTTCCCCTGCCACAAAACCACATTTCAGATTAGGCCTATAATTGTATACATATTTATATCATTCATTTGTTAGTTGTATCCTTAAATAGAAACGCGCATAAAACACTTAGTCCAATAATAATCATCGTTGGTCCTGCAGTTCCACGTGTATTTCATTTCCCTATCATTTTGTTTCGGGTTTCGGCTGTTGCCATGGACGCAATTATCGGCGATGACCTTGAAAAACACGCCGCTTTTTTCATGTCCAAGGTGAGCTTAATTAGCGGCCACAAGGCAGGCCCAAGGACTTGACTATGGACGAGGGAGTGTGTGTATATGGAGTATGCCACAAATCGCGTGCCGAGCAGGCATCAAGATTGAAACTTCATCTACCATTTGCTATCCCCCCACGGGGACCCATTGCGGTCTCAGGGGCTTTATTTTAAAGGCATTTTCCCAGTTTAATTTGAATAATTTTCATTTGGGAACAATAAAGTAATGTCATAAAGAATTTATGCTTAAAAAAACAATTTCGATAGAACTTTTCCGATTTGCTTCCCATGAAAGAAGTTTCATTGATCAAGGTGGAAGCACACATGCCTTACATATGTTAACTAAAGTTTTCTTAAATTAGAAAAAACAACATCAAAAGACCGCAAAGGAAGTCCAACCAGATGCCGTGGGGTCTCTGGTTTTAATCACAATAGTTTTGATCACAAACTGCTTACTACATATTTGTATCAAACATCTGAAAGAGTAAACCTTGGACATTTCTTGCACACTTAGACTCGGAACAGATAAACAAAAGTTTCCAATTTAATTAAAAATATATTCTAAAATGCATTAATATTTTTCTATATTTATAAATAGCACGTCCGTTTATATTTAGCTTCTAAGATTGTATAAATACTCGTATGTATTGATATCATTTTCTTGAGATCCAATATTTAATCTAGATAACATTTCCACAGCAATGTTCAAATATTTGCTTAGCGATTTCCCAACTGGAGCAGCCATCCCCACAAGTAAATAGAATCAGAAACACACACAGCACATCATAATAGGGCTTCCACCTATAGATACCCATGCAAATAGGGGTTCCAATGCTCCAATGTTGAAATTGGCGATGACGTCGCCTGTTTATGCAAATCCACAATGTGGGCCTACAGGCGAACCTAATGCGACATTTCATGAATTTATTACAGCGGTACAGGCAATACAGATAGACAGATAGACAATACAAACAAAGCGGAGAATACAATGAGAATACTAGGGGGGATTTATGATTGCTAATCGATCATATAGACGTTGTTCCAAGGAGCGGTTCACAGTTCATAGGTGATGCAATCGACCGTAGCTCAACGCGGCGTATGAGTGATTTTCCACTTACGTTCACAGCGCACCACCTCACGACGAGCCTCACGCGTTAGCATCTCGAGGCTGTCGCCTATCCTCCGTATCCTCTGTGGCGTACGCCCCATCTCTGGCAGGGCTCCAATCAGAGATCTCTGGCACATCTAATCTCACATTTAATTTTAGCCTAGTTTACATGAGGCAAACAATTAGCAAAATGGCTATGCAAAAACCCAATACTTGGCTGCGCATTTCGAGGGCTTAGATTTGCGATTTGAGTTTATCTTTGGAAGCAACACGACGACGTTGAAGTGGCAGCAAGAAAAACGTTCACACGACACGACCGCTCGACGAGAACTGTGCGGCAGTCAAGCGGCAGCGCCCGGCCATTGGGGGTATTTCTGTGCAGGGGAAAAAATTCTAATTCGATGGCGTCACTATCCAGCGGTGGTTACAACAGAGATCCCCAGCCACATTCAGACAGCCTGCCAACCTGCCAGCCAGCCAGCCGGTTTGTCTAGTCTGCAGGATGAGGGTGCATAGCCTAGCCACCCCTAAAAAAGGATACCACCAAAAAAAAAAAGAGCAAAACGAAGCCAATGACCCCGCCAGTGTGTCTGTGCCACGACCGAATGAGTGTCAGCCGTGCGATTGCGTGTCCGTTAATTACCACAAAAACATTAAACAACATCTGGCCCAAAAACAGAAACACACCTGAAGGAAGGCCCAGAAGGGAGGGTGGACTTTGCTAAACCCTTTTTCTTTTTTTTTGGTTTTCATTGTTATTTATTGTACGAAAAAATACTCGCGACTGTTTCTCAAATAAATTAGTAAATATCATAAGTATATTGCAATTGTAAATGTAGGTTGTATATAATGCCATTTACTTGGATGTTAGTTACAAAATTTTCACATACTTTTTACTTTACTTTTCGATCGTTTCGTTTCGTTTCGTTTTGCTCTTACAAAAATTTCCTTAATGTTAATTGTGTGTTAATTCGACTACAGATTTCATAAAACATTTTGTGCAACAAAAACACATTGCCATTAACTTTTCAGTTGCCCGTATTACATTTTAAATACAAAAAAAAATTAACATGTATGTAAATGTATATAAATATATCAATTTGATCAATTCGTTGGAAACAAAGCGAAAGATATACTTAACGTATCTCTACGATTTGTTAATAAATCATTCATGTAACAATTTCAGTTTTTTACACACAAATAAAAGGCCTTTTTGGGTTTGAACAATGTTTGTTTTTGAGTTTACGAAGGGGCGTAGGGGTAGGGGCAGGGGGAGGGGGTAGCTTAAGACTAGGGTGGTGGGGGGTGGGGATGTATCTATACAAAGAGCTCAGTTACATAATACTAGTAGTAGATGTTTGCTTTAAACGGGCAGCAGAGCAAGAGACTTATATCTATACCTACTTAAAGGGGATTTGAAATTTTTGATTATTCTTGCATTTTGTGCGAATTTCGAATTCTTTGATTGGGTAAAAGATAACATACAATAATGATCGAATATAGGAGTAATATTGGATAACAGTTTGCCTTGAATTAAACGCATACTTCAGCTGCTCAGCGAAATGCAATTAGACCATACATTCTGCACTTAAAGCTAACGATGAAACATTACATCAAATTAATCGTAAGAAATCGTAAATCATGAACATAATTGAGTGCAGCGATTAAATACATAATTCATAAATCATTTGAGTGGACGTAACATGGTAGCAAAATCATCAATAAATACGTAAAAAGGATACATATGTATATATCTTAAAAGCCTAATAAACTAAATAAAATTCACAAGTACTTAAAACACAATGTGATCTTGGAAATGGAGGGGCATGGAAAAGAGAGTAGCATTGTATTAGGCTTAGCAACAAATAAATAGTTAATTACATTGATTAGTTAGACTAAATGGAAAGCGAATAAAGAAATAAATTACAATAATTAACATAGGAGGAAACGTGTTTCGCAATACTTTTGTTGCAGAACTCTCCGGCATCTGTTCGACTCTGTTCATGTGCATCGCCTGGAACGAACTGTGGGTGGGGTGGGGCGGGGCGTGGGGAATGTTAGTATTGGGAATCGAAAGAATAGGAGAAATATTATTTAAAGCGTCGATGCGGCATGGTTGGACTCTCGGGCGGTGTATCCCCGCTGGCAGTGCTGCTGCCACCCCCAATGACAATCTGTTGCAGCGAATGCTTCTTGGTCACACTCTTGAATGGTGCACCCAGCTTGCGGGAACCGCGTGGCGAGGCGGATATCATGCTGCTGGCCGCCGCTGCTTCCATGGCCGCCGTAGATCCTGCCGAGGCAGATGGGGCAATGCCCAGCATGGGCCCCGAATCAATCGAGGCCTGTACCCAACCTGCAATCAGACCAGTTATCCATCAAATTATCCTCAAAATTGTCTTCGACTTGCCTACCTTTTACTGAAGCGCGATTGTGATCGAGTAGGGCCGAGGCCAGGGGCGCCGCCGAGCTGCTGGCATT